CGCGCTAGCCTAAGGGCCACCTTAGCAAAGCGCATCCCAGGCTGCATAGCCGCACTACCCTACCCAACCATACCACACATAAACATGACACTACCCCCGGGGTTTACACAGACGAGCCGGCGAAGCAAGAAGAGCGCCAGAAGAAAGGGCCCTAGCCGGCGGGGCCCAGCCAGGACAAAAGGAGGTCCCACAAAGCGCCTACACCGGCCGCATTTGCGGTCGGGGTAGACGACGGATGGGGCCCACCTACGAAGGCTGTCCAGGCCTACACGAGATGAGGCAGGATAAAGAGGGATAATCCCCCTCGATCCCAAATCATTGAGGCCAATTTCTAGCCATAGAATAATGGCGCGTGTCATCTTTATTTATATTTTCAACAAAACAGGGATGTTTTGAGAGAGTTGTCATCTAGTATTTCCTTTTTTAACTTCGATTGACTGTTTGACTATATTACGAATATACAGGGTGTTTCAGAGAGACCTCCCGTAAATACAGAGGGTGATAGTACGCCAAAGAATAAAAAATTTTTGTCTTATAAACTATATGTCTATCTCCTCATGTTTTCGAGATACAGAGCGACAAAATAAAATTTTTGAAATAGAATTTTTACTAAAATTTTCAAACGGTGCGAAATATTTTTATGAAATTTGGTATTCCGGGGTTTTTAAGGATGCCAAATACGCTGGCCTAATTATTTTTTTAATATTTCATAGAGGGCGCTAGTTATGCTACATTCCTATTACATTTTAAGTTCTAATTTTTATAAGGTTAGGTTTTTTACCATTCGGGCTCCAATTCCTAATGTACAATTTTATTTTCTAAAAATAATGTGCTCTTGTTAGAACTTCCTAATGTGGACGGTTTTCGAGAAAAAAAGGCTTTTAATTAAACTCTTACAATGTTATTGTGTATAAAATAAGTGACTTTTCTCAAAGTAGGCTTATGTCAAAACTTATCGATGGATGTCTTATAAACAACGTATACATTCTTAGTAATATTTTAAACGCTAATTAACTTTATATCAAAATTTTAGTGCTTTTAGTGACTAGTTAGTAATGACTAATTACAGTCAATAAAACTTGATAAGAATTTGATACCAAAGATGAGATACCTTAAAGTATAAAAAGTTATGTCGTTTTTATCACATTAAATCTATTGCAGCTAGCGCCCTCTATAAACTATATAAAAAATGTGAACAGATTTCAATTTCTCGACCCAAAGAACCTCAAACCTCAAAATTTTGTGGATCTTTGCGTTTATTAAGAAATAAATGAAAAAAAAAAACGAAAATAATATTTTACATTTAACATCCTGTATCTCTTTAAATATCAACTTTTGTACTAAGTTCTTTTTAAAAATAACTTTTAAAAAATGTACTAACTTTTTAAAAATTCCACACATTTTCTTTCAACACCCTTTTACACAACATTATATTAATTCAAAAATATAATTGTGCACTGCCGATCGATATTAAAAATATTAAATAGCTTGTATTTAAAAACTCCAAATTTTGAAAATCTCCATTTTATCTAAAATTTAAGCCACTGAAAATTTTCTATACCATAATAAAATATATTCTAAAATTTCGGTCGAAATTGTCTGGTATATATAAAAAAAAAAGTATTTCACTTACCTCCATCATAATATCTTATGTATGTAGATACATTTATAAAGTGTTGTGGTTGTTACCGTTGAGAGTAGGTTTTACAAAGGAAATTATATGTTATGGAAATTATTATAACTGCTTAGCAAAAGCGCACGTGTCTAATTGTGCATTCTCCTAGGTAATTATAACATATTTTATTAACACTGTGTACCTTCCTACCTGGTTATTAGAATTTACATTTTTATGACATTTTAGATGCACCACAATTAAAAATTCGATTTTTATTGCCGCAATATTATTTTTAGGATATATTTATAATTATTATATTTCAGTTAAGTAATTTTTATATGATATTTTAATATGATATATGTATATTTAATATATATGTAATTGTTTGTTCTAAAGTTACAATTATTTTTTTCAAAACTTGTGATAT